CTGTGACATTGATTTCAGTAAGGCCAGGCTTTCCCTGGCCAAATGCCTCTTCCTGGGCATATTTTAAGTACTTTAAAATACCTTCTTCTGGAAGATAGTCTTCTCTACATATAAACTTAATCATGATGTAAATAATCAGAGATATGGAGAGTCACAAACTGTTGTAAAGCAGAATTTTTCAAGCTGCTGAACATGTTTGACTCAGACTGGCTGAGCTCCATGTCCCGTGGAATTTAAATTGTGGAGGTCCGGTTCAAGACATTGTGAGTCTTTTAAAATGCTAATTTCTTTTAATGTTCAGAAAAAACAATTGAAGTGGAGTTTATCTTTTCTAATTTAGTGTTGGGAACCAGAAACATTGTTGAGAATGACTTTGGAGGGGAGTGTTTCCCAGTGTCCACCTTTGTTCTCTAGAAATAAATGCTACAAAGTCTTCCTTTTATTTGTTGGACATATTAAATACTTGTGTTGAAAGTAATTTTATTATATAAATTGCTTAGGTCACTTCATTTGCTTTGGGAGTTGTTACTGATTATTATGTGGTTCAAGCTAAATTCAGCTGAAGAGTCATGTTCCTCATTTTAAGGAAAGAAAAAAGATGCAAGTTCCTGGGTTTTGTAGATGAAAACCATACACAAGTTTTTATAATTGGCCCCAAAAGTTAAAAGATCAAATGCTTATTTGTTTTTCCATGAAAATTTCCTAAAAGTCAAGCCTTGAACTCTGCGTGATCTGTTGTAATGTTAAATAGAATAACATTCTAAACTAAAGAAAGAAAGTGAGCCCCTGTGGTTTACGAATAAATCTCAAACATTTATTAATAATATTTAATTTTTTGCATCAATGTATTTCTGTGTTTTTTTCTTTTTTTTTTTTTTAAAATGTGTGCAGTGTTTAGATAGTACCTGGAAATAATTACTCAGTTTCCCCTTTTCGTCTAGCATATTTAGATTTTAAATTTACTTGTGTGGAGCTAAGGTAGCTTGATTAATATGACTGTTCAATTTCAGATTTTAAAGAGTCAACAAATACTAGAAGTATTTGAAAAAATTAAATTACATATACTTTTTTTTCTGAACCTGAATTTTGCGCCAAGAGGGCTGAAAGTTTATTGTCACTCTCAATGCAAAGTGTTAAAATGCAAGACAAAGAATTGTGCTTTGTGTATTTATTTGTGTTATTCAGTCTTTGTCTAGGCTATGTAAAGGCTAGGAATTGTGTAAACATACTTTTGCAACAAGAGTGTCTTCCAGAAAAATGAGGACAAGAAAGCAGTTTTAATTAAAATTTTTTTCATTATGTATTTAATTGGAGTTCTTGAAGTACTGGCATTGACATTGTTACACCGTTGGATGCGGCTGGTCTCATCAACTGATTTGTTATAGCAGTGGCATGACTTTGAACTTTGCTGTGATGAATAATACAGTATATAGCAGTTTTATCCTGATGTATAAATGGAAATTTCTTTCATGGTAGTCACAAGCCTTCCTTTCTGTATACTGTCCTCCATCTGCTTCCTTGCTTTTGCCTCTTTCCCCCTTCTGTCTTACTCTTTGAGTCGTCATCCTTAATGTCACATTGTGTTTTACTGTCACATACTGTTTCTTTGCTTTCTTGTTTCTTTGTCATGCCATACATATTTGGTGAAGAAAACTTCTCAAATCAGGCTTTTCACGGTCCTGCAGCTTGCATGCTGGATCCTGAGGCTGGTTGTCTTTACGAATATCTTCTGTTGGAGGAAGGAGCAGACAGGAAAGGGACCACTAGTAATGTAGTAAAAGTTGCATGAAACACACAGACAGGGTACCCCTGTTCTGCACTTTGGAGGTCAAGCTCCTGAAGAAAGAAGACTACATTGTAGAAAGTGTCAGAAATTTGATTCAGTAAATGGCTTTTTGCTCCTTTTGGCTTAGGGTTGAAGGAATCAAGACAAACTGATGCTTCATTCCTCCTAGAATGTCTGCCTACCTTGATGGATAAACTTGATACCTAAGGTCTGCCTGTCTAGCAGGTGAAGAAAGAAGATAACATGACCATCACAGAAGCGAGGCAAGGAAGATGGGCAGTAGGAATGAGCTAGGTGTGATCTTTGGAAGTTACTGTTGGATGACCTCGTACTGTGAGGAGCTCTGGCCTTGGGTAGGCAGGAAGAGATAGTGGAACAGCGGCTGTAGCTGTCAGCAGTCGCATGACCATATAGATGGGAGCTGTCGAATGTACGTCACATATTGTAACGCCATTGTCATTCACAACAAGCTGCAGAGCAACAGCTACTGAGTTTAGTTCTTTTTCACTGTGCTGTTTATTAAGAGGCAAGGCAGGGAGGATTTCAGAGGTGACTGTGCATTTAGGTGTCTTTTAGAAATAATTTTGTTACAATACCTTTTGCAGGCAAAGATGATTATTTCATAGTTCTTTTCATCTTTTTTCCATAGCAGGTTTATCTTCTATTGCATATTTACTGTTACTTTTTAATTTCTGAAGAGATAGTGTGTTCCAGTTGGGTTGAATAACTCTGCACGAGATACATGTTTCTTTCATTTAATGTAAATGTATTCCTTAGTCGTATGATTCCATTCCTTTATGTTTCTATTCTATGTGTGTCTTGTGAACAACAGTGTTATTTGATGCATAATAATTTTTTGAAGGTGGGATGTACTTACCTGGATATTTTATTCTTTGTCTTAAGACAGTTTGTCTATCATATTTAATTTATACTTTAACAAGTTGGTGTTTTTCTTTACAAATACTCAAAGCAAGTATGTGATATTGACCAAAACCTTAAAAGTTTCATTATTTTTTTTAAAATTGGATTGGTTTAGACAGTGCTTGCTTCAAAGAGACCCAACTGCTGATCAGTGCAAAGCTGGTGATACACTAAATGAGGATACACTGCCCTCTTATATCTCCAACCCTGCCCCAAATACTTAGAATTATTTGTTTCTGATAAGGCCTCTGGCTGCTTGCTTTCCTTTACCTACTAATCCCTTGCGTTTACTATGTATTTTTTTTGGTACCATTTTCTTCTCCACTTACATGTAGCAATTTGTCTTTCCTTTTTTTGTATGCTCTTTTGCTTTTTCTTTCAATCTGCTCTGAAGTGTGAGGACAAATCAGCAACATTGCTTCTAGGCAGAAATGCTCTCTATATGGTGCTGGCTGCAGAATGAAACTCTCTTAAGTGCATTGAAGAGATGTCATTCTGATCAGTTCTAAATAGGAGCACTTTACTAACTTCTTCAATGCACTGGGCATCAGCTGTTGAAAAAGAAGTAATCTGTTAAAAGAAGTCCTGAAACTTTGAGCTGTCTGGTGGTTATTTCTTAATTTCATATATATTTTGTCTTTTTTGTGTGTGTGAGGTCAGAATCTCTTGCCTTACCTTACGAAGCAGACCTGGAGCCTTTCCTATTGCTTGAGTGGAGATGCATTGTTTTATGTATGGATTTTGTTATGATTTGTTTATACTGTGTTTAAAACATGGAAAAAACCCTGTCTTTAGAGGGCAATAGCTGTAGTTAGTGGTGTCTTTGGCCATAAATACTGTCTTTAGAGGAAAAGATGGTTAACCTTCTTGTGGGATTTTTTTTCTTCATGCTTGCTCCAGTAAATGATCTGAAATACAAACCTGATCTTAAATTCCTTTTTTGCATCTATGTTTTGCTTTTTTCATTCTCTCTTGGTGGTCTGCATTAAAGTATTTTCTATCTGCGTTAAAGTATTTTCTATCCTAAAGAAACTAGGAGAATCATGACCTTTCTTCCTCTGTATCGTCAAAAAACAAATGCAGAAGAATTTTGCCCTCAGTTTTTGCATCTGCATATAGACATTGAAAATATTCCAGCACAGTTGTTTTAGATGTGGTTAAATATTTTATAAACATTTGTTTGCCAACTTCAGATTTCTTTTTATGTATTCAGATATAACACATTTCCAGCTTGAGTGTGTTTTATTTCTTAACTTCTCTAAACTAATAAGGGCATAGGGAGAAAAAGGAAGTAGTTATATGTGTCATAGAGGCAAGAAAAGAAAATAGTTTCCTTAAATCTATTGTCTGTTTTAGACTGGATTTAGGAAGGTGCCAGGGCACTTCCAGCTCTGTTGTCTGCAGTGGGAGCTGAATACTCAGAAAGGAATTATTGTGTATATTTCCTTGGAAACTACACAGAACCATCCAGAAAGAGATTCTTGTGTATAAAGCTTTGTTTATATTTTGTGATCTATGCGTACTGATTTAAGATTGTGGTTTAAAAGCTAATGCACAGGTTTTCTATTGTAATGGTATTGTGCTTTAGAGGCCTTGTGAATACTTTAGTATTCTTTTATTTTTCTCTGTTGGAGAGATCACTGTCCTGAAAGTTGCAGTTTGTAGCCTTAATTTGAGTGTAGAGTTCAAAATTTTAAAGGAAAAAAAATCCTGAGATTTATGTTATATAAGTCTATTTTGACATCTTTTCCAGAGAAGTTTTGAGGAAAAGCATGAGTAACTGTAACAGCTTAATGCTTTTTTGCAAGTTAGACAAAAGCATAGGGCTTTGGAACAGTATGTATTTACTTTGAACATGCCACAACTCAGTGTACACACTTGGGCCAATGACTTATGTACGCTCCAAGCAAGGAAAACACTCGATAAACATTTGGTGCTACCTCGTGGGATTGGGACCCTGTTATGGTTCAGCTCCCTGATTTGTAAACGGATGATGTTTGTCTAGATTGTTGGGATGCTGTGAACACAAACTTGTACAGGGATCAGTACAGTTTGCTGCTGTTTGCCTGTCCCTTTTCTTTTGACATAGCTTCCGGCCATCACTATGCTTTTGAGAGGGCTGCATTACATGTATTTGTCAGCACGGAAAGTGATTAACATTGACTTTTCTCCAGTGTTTTACGTATTACATATTATGAACAATCCGCAAAGTGAAGTCTAGATTAAATATCATGGACACATTTGAATCATGTTTGAATGAAAATGCAATAGTATCTTTATTTGTGCCTTACAGGAAGAAAAGGCTTCTCTCCTACATCGTACTCAGGAAGAAAGGAGAAAACGAGAGGTAAAGTGGACTGTAAGATTTTGCATGCACATTGGATTTTTCTTTGATGTAATAACATTTACAGTGCAAAGTACTTCTGCTGCAGTCCTACTTGATTCAGGAATGTTTTGTTTCAGTTTGCGAGTTCTGTATAGTCTTCCAGTATATTAGAATGGACAAACTGTTTGCCTGCTTTTAAGGTGCTTCCAAGAAGTGATTTTCATCTCAAAAGAGGGTAGTTAAGCATGTGCTGAATGGAAAGGGAATTTTTCCTTTTGTTTTGGTGCTCATTGGAACTACTCTTTGTTGAGAAAAGATAGATATTTGGCTAGTAAATTGTATTTTTTGCCTTGTCCATAATCTATTACTATGGATTGGTCTCTGCGAATTCTCTTCTGCTCCTGGTTCTGCTATGGTTTTTTGGATGACCTTCAGTAGTTCACTTCCCCAGTGCGTGCCTCAGTTCTGTGAAGCTAAAGTCATACCAATAATAACTGAACGCATCCTAAAGTGCTTTAAAATCACCTGATAACTGAGGAGCAGTGAGAAGCTGATGTGTGAGACTTTGGGAAACCTTAATACTGGCTTGTGATGGAAGCTTGCTGCCATGGGTAATTCAGTCTGGAATAATGCAAAGGAGGAATAGACATTGAAAGGAAAAAACAGCAGTTGTAAAATGTGAATATATGTGGCAATATGAAAACAAAATTTCGTAGTATGGAGTTTAAGTGAATGTGTACATTTTGTAAATTTTTGTCCCCTCTGATAAGAGTTGAAAAAAAGATTGGTCTTAAAAATGACTTAAAAAGTATAACTGTGTAGGTTTCATGCTAATCAAGAAAACAGAGCCTTTTGGCCCTTAAAGATGTGTTTGACCCTTGCTAGATTAGGTACAGGTTCTGCAGTGGCTCTTCTGCTTCTGAGGACAGTTACTGCTTTTTTTTTTTCTTTCGAACCTGAGTGTATAATTATGGACCAAGTTTAAGTATGAAGTTACTAGGATTTCACCAGTTCAGAATGCTGTGTTATGAATCAAATTTATGATCAGTGAGTCCTTAACCAACTTACGCGAAAAGACTTTTTTGCGCTTCATAAACTTTTTGCCATATATCAAAATAACCTGTTCAGTTGCTTAATTCTGTCTGCTGCAAAGCTGATGCAGAGTCGTATACTCATATCTGTCTATGTACAGACATACACACAACGATTTTCTGTGACATATGTCAGGTTCTCACAAAATGAATGACTCCTTTAAGAATAAAATCAGTTATGGCTTTTAAAAAAATGCCTGTAACAGAATCTTAGCAGTGACCTCAGCCTTAAAACCTTTGCAATTACGGGTCACTAATTGACGATTATGTATTCTAGGATAAAACCTGTACCTAGAGAAAAGGAGAACATACCTACTTTTTAGTTGAGCATTACGTTATGATTATGATGAGACTGTGCTTCTCTATAATTGAAACTCTCTCCTGCTTGCCCCCAGATTGCTTTGCACTTTTACTGTTGGATACTTTGGAGAGAAAAATATGCTTTGACCTTTCAAAATTTTAATTGTGGTTCACACTTTGGAGGTAATTAGAGTCTTTCAAGTGTATACTGATTCAGAGAAATAACTTTAGGAACCGGAGTTTCCAAGAAAAATAAAATAGGCATTGGATAGCAATTTCATCTGGTGTTTCTCTGGTCAGTTCAGGTTAAATTCTTAAGTTGGATGTGTCTTTATGGAGCAATAAATTAGAAGTCATAGTTTTGCGAGTTGAGTTTATGTGAACTTTCCCAAATGTATTTTAATGAAATTTATAAAAGCACTTTGGTGTTTTGTTTTGCTTGGTGGCCATCGAAATTATGGGCTTATTATAGTTCAAGGATTCATTAGGCTAAAATTTCTGTTCTCAAAGCAGGGTTTTCTGATTTTTACTCTCTCTCTCTCTCCATATTTTCCCTTCCTCAACCACTGCTTTGTAGCTCTGGGTTCATGAGCAAAGATTTTGTTTACTTCCCTCTTTCATCCCCTAAGAAACTATATGGACATTATTAGAAACCTAATTACAGTAGCTACTTGCCTTAGGTATTTATTGTGATCGGATATGCTAGGGGTGTTGTCAGGGACACTTGAGTGCTCTTTCCATAGTACCTTAAGCAAGCTGGCTTTCAGTTCCTCAGAAAGTGAGCCATTGTAAAGGGATGATTTTAGCTACTCTTTCTAGCTCCTGAGGAGGACATCATAAAATGACTCGCTTTATGTGTCTGGTTTGAAGGAGAGAGCAAGAATTTTTAACAATTTCTGTATTGTGCTCCTGGGCTTAAAGCATTAAGCTTCATTTTCTTTTGACAGCAATATTGTCTTCAAATAACTGATTTTTTTTTTTTTTTTTTTTTAGTGGTTTGTTCCCCCCCCAATCTAAACTGCATCAGCCTCCTAATACTGATACATTATTTGAATGGAAACAAATAACCGGGTCTTCAGCGTTAGCTGATCTATGCAGAAGAGGAATGGTGTTATAGAATTTGATGTATTCTTCAACATTTTAGTGTTAAGACTTTGTCTAATAAAATACAAATGTGTTTATTTTGCTTTCTATAGTATTACATACTTATTGAGTATTAAAAATTCTTTTGCAAAATCTTAATGGTAAATTTACACTTAAAAACACAAAAAGCTTTCTTCCTCATTTATGTGTATTGGATGCAAACCTTCAAACACTTTATTTTACTAATGTTTAGTGCTTAATTTTCATTAAAAATACTTTTGAATACAAATATATCTGATAAAATGGTAGAAATTAGAGTCAGTTCCATGATGTTGACTTCAGTTTTATTGCTTTGTTTTACAGGAAGAGAGGCGGAGGCTGAAAAATGCAATAATAATCCAGTCATTTGTAAGAGGGTACAGAGACAGAAAACATCAAGTAAGTATTTATTTATTTAGAAAGATGTAAACCAATTTTGCTGAAAATGGGACTTTCTAGTAATAAATAATTTCATTGAAAAATCTCTACCTTTTTGAGTATTGTGTGTGCCCACAAAGTGGATATTCTTTTTCCTTCTTGACATTTCCATTTAAATCTCAATATTTTAGTAGATGAATGTTTACTCTGCAAAGCATGTATGTGACAGTGGACTTCAATGGGATTATGCAATGTTTTTTTGAGCTGACAAAGCACATGAAAACGGTTAGGTATTAGCAGCTTTCACACACCAGTGGAGCTTTTTTTTCCCCCAATATGGCTAAGGTGGTAGTTTGAGTCAAAAAGATGTTCTTTCTAAGCTGCTGTTGGGTAGATTATTCTAAGAGAGAGTTGTATCTGTTTAAATTCGCTAATATTTATTGAGTAAACTAGATGAAAACGTTTGAGATATTCCTGAAAAGCAACGAATTAGTTGCAATATGTAGTTTCTGGATTACAGAAAGCGGTTATGGCTTTAGCTATGATATTGTGTGTGTGTTTTGATCTCTTAACAAATATGTGTTGTATCGATTTTACTACTTTGCAACCACTTTGGATGGGAAGCTGAAGTTTTTAAAATTTTGCATCTCTAGTTTAAATCATAGCCATTATTGATATATTGATGCTTGTCTTATTTTTAAGTACTCTATCCAAAGAAGTGAATTTGATCGCTGTGCTAATTTGGCCCAATCTGGAGGAACCTTTTCCACTGCTAATGGAGCTAATTTGACTCTTTTAGTTCGTCAGTTACTCTTTTTCTATAGACAGAATGAGGATTCTAAGCGTTTGGTGAGTACTATTACATACTTTCACGTGTAATACTTTTATTTCATGCACTTTTAAAGTACTCTTTCACTTAAAAGATTTTGAAGGGATGCAGAAAAGGCTTTGACCACTTTAGTAAATTCATTTAAGAATTTTGGCTTTTGCTGGCCTGCACTCTACTGTTTTGTATTTATGCAGAATAACTTAAAATTAGGTTTTTTATGTGCCAACACACAAAAACTGTGAAATGAAGCCTTGAAAAATCCTGTGTTTATTATTCACAGTAATTTATTGAAAATAATATACTTCTATTAGAATTTAATTTTTAAACAATATTTTCCACTTAGCCCTCTGGTTATTCCTAAGGTGTTTGGGTTGGTTTTTTTTCCTCACTGGTCAATAACGCTGACATATCAATTGTAAAGTCATTGCAAACTTCCCAAATGTACAAGTAAGTATGATTCATAGCGGGTATTAGTAATGGAAATTAAAGAATTATGGCTATTGAAAGCTAAAAAGTTAACAGATAAATTTGTTGCAAGAGTAAAGTTATTTTTAAGTGCAATTCAGTCTTAACTTTGAGAGTTTAGTACTAGTGGTCATGTAGTTTGTCTTGTAAGAATTTTTTTTTTTTCCTCAGGTGAACATGATTGTCTTAGTTTGTGTTTTGTAAGTCTTCTGAAGGTATCCAAAACAGGATTGAAATATTACTGTCTGTGTTGTAATAAATAATATAACTTGTTGTTATAAACAGTAAACTTGTGCATATATTTTCCCAGGTATGGATGTGTCAGAATTTAATTAAACAGAGTTCTCAGTTTGTTAAGCAATTGGATGGTCCAGACAGACTTACTTGCTTATTCCAAATAAAAAGACTGTTGGGGCTGTGTTGCAGGTAAATTCTTTTTAATATGTGCTACTGTCTAAAAAGCATTCAGAAATTATGTTGTGTACTTGTTTGTTTCTTTTTGCAGCAGGTGAAGTACTAAATGTAAATTTATTTTATGGAGAGGACTGTTTCTGTTAAATAAATGTGTAGGCCATGGTATAGGATACTTCTTCCTATATAAGAGCAATGGAATGTTCTTAAGCTCCATTGACTTTAAAGTTCAACATGTCCTTAAAGGATGCCCTGCGTAAGGACAGGCTTAAGTATGTTCCTAACTGTTTGCATATAGCAATATCCTTACCAACATTTGTGGAAACCAGAAAGTTTTCTTGGGAACTGATAGTGATTAGAAGATACTATCTGAGGTGGACTAATGTTCCAAGGATATGCTTGGATATATTTTGTTTTAAAACTGGTATTATTTAAGATGCCTTTCCTCACACTTTATTTTGAATTTAAAGTATGTTAAGCGGTTATGTTACTGGCTTCAGCAGTGCATTTATTATCTGTAGTGAGAGGATCACAGCAAGGTAAAACTATCAAGGCAACTTGAATATCTGGCAGCTAAAGCCTGGTTTTAGAAAACAATATATTTGCCCTTATCAATAATAGGAACTAGTTATACTCTCGAGAGCCTTAAAATATTTCTTTTTCCTTTTAATATTCAGGCTTTTTTAGCAAATTGTTTCATTCAAGTCACTGAACCTTGTATTCTTATAATTGTGTGTGCTGTATGTATAATAAACAGTGACCCCAGATACTAAAGATGCCTTGAGTGGTGGACTTCAAAGTCCACATTCAGTTTGACTACAGTTGAAATTGTAGTTTTGTAAATGCAGCTCAGTTAGTATTACCGCGCTCTCTTCCTGGCTGGGTGATGTGGGAGAACAAAAGGAGTGGAAGAGCTGTCCCTGCCTTTACATATAGGGAGAATGAAGGGGAAAGCTCTTCTTAACTTTACCTTGCTAGCATCATGATGGGTGTCTATACTTGCTTTCTGAGCTACTCTAATTTTCTGCAAAAGCCCAGAAAACAGCAGGACAAGTAGCCAAAAAGTGTTTCTCTGAGATGAGTTCAGATTCGTGAGAAGCTGTAGCTTTTAATGCTCTGGAAAAAAAAGGACTCTGTAATATTGTAGCAAAAAACAGTTATTTGATTGCAACTACATCTGCAAAAAAAGTCTTGTTTGTTAGTGTATCTCTTTTTCTGTTCAGTGAAATGTCTTAGCTATGGTGTCAAAATAATTTTTGCTGATAGATTCCATCTTTCTGAATGGCTGGGAAAGAAAGCACATTGTTAGGGCAACTATGCCTATATGCATCTCTGCTAAAAAATAATTTTAATTCTAAACGTCTTAATCTTGACCATTTCTGTGGTTACTAGTAGTTATTTCATAAGCAATTTCCGGAAAGGATAAGAATGGTTGTATTTTTAATATTTCAGTCTGTAATCAAAGACATATTGTTTTAGTTACACATATGACTTTCCCTGGCGTTTGTTCCCAGCTCATATTGCTCTGGGGCTTTCATGGCTTTGTTTTTAATATGGGTGGTAATACAGGTTGGAAAAACATGCGTTATTCTTTGCTTCTCTTGCAGTTTGTGCAATAGACCTCCAAACTTTCAGGTCATCGAAAGCAGGAATTTAGTAGGATTTAAAGAGAGGGTGCCATATTCATAGAAACCCTGAAATCAGGAATTATTATTATAAAGGTACCAACTAAGAGATGTAGCTACAGTACTGAGAACACTTGGAAACCAAGTAGAAATAAGTTACTTAACGGTGAATGTGAAAGGTTTTTTGTAGCTTTATTTTTAAACCAGTGTACATATGCCTGCGGTGAAATAAGAGAAATTTCTTGTTAAATAATTTTGATTTCATTTTGTTTATAGGCTATTGCAAAATTGCAATGATGACAGTCTGAATGTTGCACTTCCTATGAGAATGCTTGAGGTATTTTCGTCTGAGAATACGTATTTGCCTGTTTTACAAGATGTCAGCTATGTGACATCATTAATTGAACAAATTTTGCACTACATGATTCAAAAAGGTGAGTAGCTAAGAACTAGAAGTTCTGAGAAATATTCAAAAATTAAACAGAATGTGTAATACCTGAAGACCGTGTTGTTTAATCGCATTTTTGTCTTTACCGCAGACACAATGAATGTGCTGCATGCACTAACTTATAAATTAGATGGAAATTTTGCTTGAATTGAGATCACTACTTAGGGAATTACTGTTTGTTTTCTTTGGAAATTGTGTTATAAGTAACTTGGTATAATACTCAATTTATACAGACTTTTTACCACAGCTTTTGAGAGTAGGTGGATATTACCTAACAAAAGTTTTATCCCAATAGCTGTTCTCTCGCTTACACACACACACACACACACACACGCACACACACTGTGGCAGATCTAAGCTTTAGTTGTGTAGAAGTTGGGCATTATGTTGTAGTACTGTTCTCTATAACTGCTGACGTTCATTATTACGGTAAATTGGCGTTACCTTTTCATCCTGTTAACACTAGAGACACCTTAGCAAAGAGATGGTGACCTAGCTTTTTTTTCCCTTGTACCATCATCAGCAAAACTGTTTGCTAAACTGCAATCAGTTACACCTGTGCAAACATACTGAAAGTTAATGAGTTGTGTAGTTATCTCCAAAATTATGTTTTGTCTTGAAGAAACTTATTACTCTGGGAACATGCAAAAAAATTCATTTGGCTCTCTCCATAGCTTGAGTTTGCAAGACTTGTGGATGGGGAGAAAAGACAAAAACATTATGAAATAAACATCTCGGATCCAGATTCATTGGTATAAAATGCAAAAAGAGCACCTTCCAATTTGTTAGTAAATTGTTGCAATAATTCTATGTGAGTTTTAAAGTACGTTCAGTAGACTAGACTATCTTATCATGGTACTAATTTGATTTTAACTACTACATGTTGAAGTCACTATGAGAAAAAAAAATGGCTGTTACTGTAGCACATTTATTTTACCTGCCTAGGCATAGCTACAACTATAGAAGTATTTGTGTTTGTCTCATTGCTTACTATATAATCTTCCAAACTACTTGTATTTGTTCTTTTAGTGTAATAGTCAGTCCTCACAACTGATATATGAAAGTTTATCAAGATGTTAGATCATAAATTTTAGTAAAAAAAAAAGTCAGCTTTCTGATCACTTATAATGAAAACAAAAAGAGGCGTTTGTGTGCAACTACAAATGCTCTATCTCCTTAGAATTTATGATGGTTAATTTGTAAAGAATCTGTAATCAGCTTTTGTTAGTATATGTTTTTGCATATAATTTGTCTTCCATGTGCGTCTTGTCAGCATTGCTAAGTTATTCCTTTATGGTGACTTCCTCTTGTTGCGTTGTACATCAAATTAGTAGTCCCCAACAAAAGGTCTCAGACTGGACTTCTCAATGATAATGACACTATTTATACATTTGCGGTGGTTCCTGTAGTCGTGGAACTTGCGTCTTAGTTTAGGAGTTCATTGAGCAAGAGAAGGTTGGTTTAAGACGAATGAAATCATGTGATTCCATTTGTACTTTAGTGAGACATAAATAGATTACCCTCTGCACATGTCTTTATGGCTCAGGTGATAATGCATTTTATTGCTGTCTGAGAGATCCCTGTTTTGGAAACAGTAATTGTATTCTTCATCCTGCTAAGGCAGGGTGTTTACAGAATTGAGACATTCTGCTAATAGGACTCTTACCTGTATGATGCAGTCATGTTTTGGAGTAGAGGGGAAAATTTACCATTTCTGAAAAGATGGAAGGACAGCTGTCAAAAACATGACTAGAGTCACTCAGAGGAGAAGAGAACATCTTTTTCATAGGTCATTTAAAAAGAAAATCTGATTATTCATTTCATCAACAGGAGTTACCGGTTTTTGAAAATCAGACTGACTCTGAATGCAGATATCTAGCTATGATTTTATAAAGTGATGTTTCCAAAGAGGTTGCTGGTATATCCTGTTAGTTTCGTGAATGTGACTTGGACTATTGTAAAATGTCTTCCTAAGTAAAGTTTCATGCAATGAATTGTAAACTGTTTTTCAAGTTAATGTTAAGTATAAAAGTTGTTTTATATAGAAAAGAAGAAGAATAATACTGTGTTTAAAAAGTGGTATTTCGTACTTGCAGGCTACTACAAGTCGCTTTATTTGTTAATTAACAATAAGCTTCCCTCGAGTATTGAGTATTCCGATGTTTCTCGAGTCCCTATTGCAAAAATACTTCTGGAGAATGTTCTGAAGCCATTGCACTTTACGTATAGCTCCTGTCCAGAAGGTGCAAGGTAAATAAAGATAATACTACATATTTGTATACTCATTGTCAGAGGTGCGCGGTTTGTTGTTGAGTGTCTAGCTATTCTTTCGTTGCAATTTGTTGATTTATTTGCAACAGTAATGATTTTTTGGTAATACTGTACATTGATGAAAAAATGTAGTTTCAGGTGTGCTTAAGAAAAAGGCAATAAAATTGTGAAGACTACAATAAACGGAGGACAGAGAATAGCAGGTATCACAAAACATACAAACACAGGTGTGGAAAAACTGAGATGAGAGCAGAGATGCAGCTAAGGGCAGATGAAAACAATTTTAGAGTTAAAAAAACCTTTTTGACAGGAGCTGAGGTTTATGGAGAGAAATAGCCGAGTCAGCTTACAAGCACAAAGAGTCAGGTAGGTAGAAAGATGGAACAAAAGTCAAACCCTGTATCACGTGATAGTGTTTTGTGTTAAAGTAGTATTTTTTGGGGAAAAAGACAAATTTAGTTTTATTTCAAGATTATAAGCAACAAATTTAACTTCAGAATAGTTTTCAGTATGTTCATGAAAAGTTCAGAGGAGAAGATGATGTAGTATAAGAAGTTCATTTTTGAGAAATCTGAGAAATTTGGTTTAACACAGGATTAATGGAGCGCATCTTTGCAGTTGGCTTGATGGACATGTTTGAACTTGCAAATTGATATATTATTCCATGGATATAATTGTGGGATATTTTGCCTATATTTTCTATAAAGATAATTTTTCTTCATTTCAGGCAGCAGATTTTTGCAGCCTTCACAGAGGAGTTTCTGGCAGCACCTTTTACAGATCAGATATTCCATTTCATCATTCCAGCGCTTGCTGATGTGCAGACCATTTTCCCTTATGAACTCTTTCTGAATGCACTATTACTAGCAGAAAGTGGATATTCAAGAAGAAGTGATCAAGCCCCATGGCTTTTTTACTTTGTATTAACAGTTGGAGAAACATATTTGGGTGAGAAAGCTGAATGGCCAATTCATTGTTTTTTCGTATTTCAGTTAATGTGTTACGTATTTCCACAACATGGTTCATTGCCAAGCAAAAAGGACAGTTTGTGGATAAAAGTGTTGGAGAGATCTGTTTTATTAGCTATTCTTACCCTTTTCAGTAAAAAAATACACTTAATTTGGGAAGATTCGGCATAATTTGTTTTGGTCAGGTATTTGAGGTAAAATATATTTTATAGTACAGTGTGATCTGGCTAACAATCTTCTATTTCAATGTATGCACTATAGGATCCCTTTCAGAGGAAGGACTTCTTGTGTATTTGAGGGTACTCCAAACTTTTCTCTCTCAGCTGCCTGTGTCTGCTACTGGTACAAACTGTCAAGATGCAAACAGTGATTCTGAAGATGAGGATGAAGAGATCAGTAAAACGACAACTACACCAGTAAGCAGTACAGAATTTCTTTGCATGAATTTGTATTACGGCAGCAGCAAATATAGACAAATCACTGCAAGTCCAGTATTTTCGTAGCTATGTGTAGAAAGGAGCATGTTTACTTCTTCAGAATAGATGGCTGCTCACCATAAGCAGATGGAACTGGTTGCTTACATTAAAAACAGAACCCTTACTGTAATGAGAAATCTTAAAGTGCAGGTAGAGTGTCCGCTGAAGGACAGAGCTTTTATTTAACAAAGAAAGTTTAAACTTCTCTTCTTTAAATTTGTATTTTACAGAGACTGTATTACTCTGTATTCTTTAAGTCCATGATGATGCTAAGATATCATGAAACCAGATATCTGATCTTCCAACTTAGTATTTTCATTTTTTTTTTCTCATGGAAATATTACAAGTTCAACTACAATCTTTACCCTGTAGAATTAGCTCTGTATTTAAATTTATCCAATACCTTGAAAGCACTCAAAGGGGGAACGCTGCTTTCTGTCATAACATATAGAGACTGTATTATAATTAGAACTTTTCACTATAGTTTAAACTTCCACCAGTAAAATGAATCCATGCTAACTTTAAGCTCCTAACAATTGGATCATGGCTTTGAAAAACCAAAGTTGGAGAGTCGTAAATTCAACAGTTTCTTACTGGCTTTTGTATAATCTCTCAAAAGACACTACCATTCAAAGGACTTGGGCATTGTGCAGTCTTTCCTTGTGGAATGTGTGGAATTTCATCATATTTAGGGTTCATTAAAAAAAAAAAATCTCATAGATTATTTTGCCTCCCCACACTGAGCTAGGAATTCTAGATTTCTGTCTCTTAGGCATTCTAGGGCTTCCTAGCATTCTCCTGGTTAAGGACTGAAAGCAAAAGCATACTAGCTCTTCTAAGGAATACTGTTCCTATAATCCTACTTACATTTCATGTAAGGTGATGTACATTCCTGAAAGGTGCATCATTTTAAAGACCTTGATACTGAGAGTAATCTCTTACAAAGAACCATACTGCTGGGGAATATATGCAGCCTTTTACTTGTGCATTTTTAGATGCAGTGTGTTGCTGTTACCCCCAAATCTTTACCAAGATAGTGTGAATTAAATACTTAATTGCCAGACGCGCACACATGGTATGTGATGTAAATATTGGCAGATTCTACTTGTGGCTTGGAGGTATTGGTGATATTGAAGAGATGATTAGGTAAAAACAAAGCATAAATTTCTGTTCACAGGTAACTTACAGTAATTTGTCAACTAGAGAAGATCTGCTCTGAGGAGGCTTTAATACATGATACTATTTATTGCAATATGTTTTTCGTGTGAGGTTTTTTTTATAAATTCCATATTCTCATGCATGCCTGTCTTACAAAAAAAATACGGGGATGGGGTGGGTGGGGAACCAGTCTTTCTTAAAAATTCATAATTGGATAACTTGTGTCCTTCAGCGAGCCAGACTGCTTTACTGTCTTGGGGGCAAGATAAAGAGAGGAAATAAGGAAAAGAAAAGGTTGAGCTCCACTCAGTTCTATGCCAAGGGAAAGCATTCCTCTTCATACGCTTCTGGTACTACCCAAGCATGTGTGTTAGCCACCCTGAAGTTTTTTGTTGTTTGTTAACCCATGGATTATGTATATGAAAATACTGTTTGTAAAGAAACTTACAGTAGACATTAATTTCTGGATTTCATGTCCAATGCTGGCTGATGTCAGTGGGGAAGAGATGACTATTCACGTATTTTATGCCAGTAGACGATCTTGCCTTATTGTATCCAAGTGTTGCAGAACATGCTTGTGTTAAAGGACTCTTTACCAGTGGCCTAAGTGAAAAGATCGAGACCACAACCCAACAGTTGCCTACCCAGGGATTTAAGTTGGCTCTTGGGTCTGATACTTTTAAGAATGCTACTAGGATATAGATATGTACTTACATTTTAATTACTGTTCAAGAAAGCTTTATGTTCTAGTAAAATTCTGAAGTTTTTTTAAAAAAGAGGATACTTGATCATTAAAAAGACTTAAAGCAAATTTTTGTTTGATATGTTTGTAGGGTGATGGGAGAATATCAGTTCAGTACATAACTGAGGAGTGTCTAAAGAAATTGGATACAAAGCAGCAAACAAACACTCTACTGAATATGGTTTGGAGAGATTCAGCTAGTGAAGAAGTCTTTACCCTGATGGCATCAATCTGCCACACGCTAATGGTACAACACCGAATGATGGTGCCAAAAGTCAGGCAAGTATAAGTAATAGTGATGTTGAACTGTAGTACATCTAAAATTGGTTTTATTAGATAGACTTGTTTTAAATACCCTGTGGGGTTTTTTTTGTGTGTTTTATGATCAGGTGAAATAAATAAGAATTTCAGAATTTAAATAGTAATTCCAGGCAAACCAAAGAGTAGGTTCTCTTTATGTTTCTTATTTTTCTTCTTGTTCGTTATGCTGTCTCTGGAGTAATCACTGAATCCAGAAGTGTAAGCTCTTGGTTTGTGTAGTGAGTTGCAAATAAGTTAGTATTCCATCACCACATTGAGGACTATGGAACAGGTAGTGTTTGTCATCAGAATATCACTCACAAATAGGGATTACAAAGGTTCTTGAAAGGAGTTTATCCATCCCCTTGCTCAGAGGCAGCATTAAATGTCATTCTAGCAGAAGTTTGTTTAGCTTGTTTTTAAAACTTTCAGTGATACAGATTCGACAGTCTGTCTAGCTAGCTGAGCACTGAAACGAACTTGTTCTCTGCCCTCTTTAATATATAGCCAAAATCTATCTTGCTACAAATTAAAACGATTCCAAACTATTGAAAATCACTGTTGTTTGGGGAGGGCTTTGGCATCTGAGATGGAGATAAAAGACTTGTTCATTTGTACAGCATTCTTCTACAAAAACTGCAACCCACAAATGTCTGTTAGCAATGGAAGAAGATTTTTGACCTTTTTGTTATCAGACTAAGACCTATAAGTATTAACATTGTTCTGGTGCAAGTAGTTTTGAATAAGTATGTAGTTGCTGGTAGTAAAGTAAGTATTTAGGGAATGTTGTAAACATAATCAATTCAAACTGCATTGTAAACAGTGATACAGAAAACTAATTAGGTGCTATCTTTGCCCAATGGTGTTTATAGCTGTTAGAGGAAGTAAGATGTCAGTGAAACTGTGATTGCTCGATTAGGGTAATTAGTTCTTTGTAGACTAATTGCATTAGAGCAGGATGTGAGACCTGAAGATCATAGCAGCAGTTGAATTAGTATGCCTGCTTTATTGTTGCAAGTAGTACATTCCCTTGGATAGTAATTACTGAGTTTAAATGCATCACTGCTTTGACTTGAGGTTTGCTGGTGAGCTGTGTGGAAGGGGGTGTTTAATGAATAAAGAAGTCACACAGAACTTTAATTGTACAAGTATGGCATCTATTTCCTCTGAGAAGCCATATTAAGTCTTTGCAATTATTTGTGATAACAAGCTAGTTACACATTGGATAAATTCAGGAGTTACGAAAGTTCTGCTCAATATCTTACAACAGAAAGCAATTTACAAATTTTAACTCTTGAATAGGTCTGAAATAGTTGAATGTACCAATTTTGGAAATAAGTAGTAAAGATACGAAGATTTGTGTCAATAATACCAGTGGAATTACTTTCATGGTCAAAGTGAAGTAAATTCGTATAGGTATTTGGTAAATTAAGGTAGACATTTAATCACTAATTCGGACTTCCAAGTAAATCATGTATGTTTGGTTTGCCAGGCATCATCGTGTCAGGAGGTGTCAATCTTTTGTCCTATTCTCAGTGCATTTTAGGCCTGACTTAAATTACCAAGCAGCTATTCTAAATGTTATTTTTGAGTGTTTTTCAAAGGACATTTTGTGCTTGTTTTAAAGGTAGTAAACATTGTGCCATTTCAAAAGACAATTAGAAGATTTTTTTGGTCATTAATTTCCACTTTTTTAATTGCCTGATTTTTTTTTTATTGCCCAAATGATTTTGTCAAATTTAATGATAGTCTTTTGAAAGATACTTCACTTGTTTTGAAACTAACTTTTAAATTACTTAATATTCAGTCTAAAGTGTGTCTATTTAATTAAACAATGTAAAAATAGTTAAGCAGAAATAATGTATTGGAAATTATTTTTAATATATTCTAAGAGCTCAAAAATGCTCTTTTGGAAACATACTGGGTCAAATGGTTTCAAAGACAGAAAAGGTTGTTACAAAGACTTCACTTAACAACATTTACAATGGTAATAAACAATAATGATAAAAACATACAGGCTGCAAATCTGCAAAGTGGGATGCTAAATAAAGAGAGTAATAACTGAAAACAACTTTTCAATAACTAAAGAAAATTAGGCTAAAGTTAACACAGGCTTTGGAAGAGAGGAAACAACGAATATCTCTGTATTGTTTTAGTAGTTCTGAGGCTTTTTTCCTTCTTGCAAAAAGACAAGAAATTCATAGTCTAGACTTATGTCACTCCATTAAAGCTGAATGTTTTTGCTTCTTGTAGCTTCTCAGTACATCTTTGATTTGGCTGCTGCTGATGTTGCATGGTGTTAGGAATGTTGGTGTTGCTGCATTAGCTCCGTAGTTTCTTTGGTTTTGCAACAGAGACCAAGAGAGAACAGAATAAAATACCCAAAAGTACAATGTAGTTTTGAACAGAAGGAGCTAGCCTCTAAAGTTTCTTTCTGATTCTCTAGAGAGAGTGGTGGGATCCAAAGGTGGATTACTGGAAAAGCATGTTGCTTTGGGTTAGTCGTTAGAAATTTTGATAAATTCTGAATAAGTTCTGGAAAGATGTAATCAAACCCAGTTAAAGGAAAAGACCATAAGACAGGGCAAACCTAACTGTAGCTAGTGTGCGGTATGCCAGATAAGAGATGTAGAATAAAATCCTGATTGTAATGAAGTCATTGGGAATTGTACTTGTTTTCAGAGGGGCAGGGCTTTCATCTTTTGACTGTAAAGTTGATACATACTATTGAATACAGTTACTTTTAAAAAAAAAAAAAGAAAACTTGAGTCTTGGAGTGTGGTTCTCATTATAAAGAGATTTGCAAGACTTTTGTTCATCAGAACTATACTTTAAATAACTAATACATTCTGTTTCTGCAAAATATTTAGGGGCATAATTTAATACCATAGACTTCAAGTCATCACTACGGCTTAATATTAGAGTGTGACGGAAAGTGTGCTTGTATTGGGACTTCCGTTGCTATCAGCTCTCTGATCAGTGCCCCAGAGTGATTGCTAATCTTGGTTTAACGGTTTCATAGTCACCGTACATTACTACTCTTTAAGTAACATAACATTGCTAATCTTAACCTGTGATTGAAAATTATTTGGAAAACTGACATTCTGGTGTAATATGAGCAGCCTGTCTTCATACATATGCTGAAGATACTTAGACTTTACATGAGGCTATTTTAATAATTCTTCAAGGAAAGTTCTTACACTGTTGTGTTTTTCTTAAAACCAGAATCATTCTATGTGAAATTTTTACTTTTTTTTTTTTTAAAACTTCGTGTTACATTATTGGTCCAATATAGAGGCAGAAGCATAAAGCAGCCTAAAGAGTGGTATAGTTCGTTTAATGATGGCTTTGCGTGCCGTCTCGTACCTGTGACACCTTGCAGTTCTGAAGTGTCAAAATCCGCTGCCCTGGCAGCAGTGACCTTTCACGGACTGTATGAGCTCCTCTCATTCTAGTGTATTCTCTTCATTAACTTAAATGGTCTCAGTGGGAAACTGGGCCCAATTTATGACCTAGACTGAAAATCTTGCCTTTAACTAATTAACTTGTAGTGGTGCCTCAGCTAAATTAAGCTTAATGGGTCATTTAATCTGTCCCATTGCGCAGGAGGAATTTGACGCTTTTTTTAAACCAGAGGTGCCCAAAATACTGTTCTAGCAAGTACACATAAATCATGTGGCCTTTGTGGACAATTAGATACCTACAGAGAGAAACAAGGTTCTAAATAAATGATCGTTATGTACTTACTTTCGGGAGCAGATAATTTAATTTGGTATGATTAAAATAGATACTTAACAGAAATCACTGGAGTGAATTTAACTCTATCATAGCCTGTGGCTGAGACAGTGTGCATTTTCCCACTTGAAAGAATCTTATCCTTTCTAGTAGTAGCAAAATGGTTCTTCTCCCAAACTACAGTGCTAAATCTGAATATTGAACTTCACAGAAAATCTGTTAATGAATCCATTATAGAAAACCATGTATAATGAACTCATAATAAAGAAATTGGTGGTATGCAATGAGATTTTGAAGAAAATGTGGAACCACCAGATGGGAGGACTGAAAAACCAGGGTTCACACTTTAGCTGCTTAGTTGATTTTAGAATAGTACAAATATTGAAAATGAAACCCCTGAGTCAGATTATAAAAATTTAATAAAAAGACATAATGTCTAATCTTTTTGATTCCTAGTGTTGGTGTGTCTGGGTTTTTCTTTAAAGGAAAAAGTGATAAAGATTGTATGGGCACTCAAACTTTACATTAACTGATCTCTAAACTTTGTGGGTTGATGATGCTTTGTTTTTAGGGTATATACGCTATCCCTGTAATGTTCTGCAGTTTATCAGGAATTATTATCTTGCTCCCTGTCATTTTAATGTAGTTCTATCTGGAAATGCGGTTTTTTTAGCAGATGAACATATTTTCTCTGCCAAAGAAAAAGACCAAATGAGGTAGATTTTGACCTATTTTAATTCTCAAAAGTTTTAATTTTTACTTTTTAATTTTTTAATTTAAATTTTTTAGCCTTTTCCATGTGTTTTTCCAATTTGAAGGCAAAAATTTCGGAACTTTTTAGTACAGCAAATTTCTTGAACTTTTGTAGAGACATGGCTTTTCAAGGCCATCCTTGCACTGCGGTTTTCTTGTTACAATTGTTATCTTCTACTTTGAAAGCTAATCTCTGTACTTAGAGAGAGAGGGTAGTAGGTTGTTTCTGCTGTTGTTCCTTTTGCAGTGGATTATATTTCAGGTGAATATAGTGATATAAAATTTTTGTAACTCAAGGCCTAGTTCACCCTTCTGTGTTTAGTTTGCAGTTTCATGTTTATTTTCTGGTAACAGTACGGAAACTTTAGAATTGATGAATTCATCTGCTTCAATTTCATATTGACAAAATAGGCTGTATCATAACATCTTCTACTGAATTTGCACTTTTGTATTTAACCAGATTTTCAGGGACGGGAAATGTGAAAGTTGAATATGTTCAGCATTTCTGGAATTGGGCCATGAAATGTAGCAGTTGCTACAATTCACTGGCTGAATCATGGATATGGAATAAAAATGGCTAAAACTTAGACAAAGGTTATTATTATAAGCTCTTAAGGTTTGTCCTTTTTTCCCCTTCATTATTGCTGAATATTGCTAGAATGAAAACATGAATTACATTATGATAGGTTCAGTGTCCATAATGTTTGTTCATTTCTGCTAAAACTATTACATAATTTCCAGAGATGATTGTAAAATTAACAAATTTTTACTTGGAAGTCCTATGAGACCTAATGGCACTGTGCCAAATTACTTTTCATTTCCAATATGAGGCTGAAATCTGGAGGTCACTAAGTAAATTTCTAATTTCAGAAACCAAGACATCTGAGCTATCATTCAGATATTTTAACATTAAAATACAAATCCTTATTCTAAATTAGCTAGATATAATAAGCCCTTCCTTACGTGATAATGCATAATTTCCACCCAAATGTCAAAATAGTATGACTTTAGAAGGAAGTAAAATTCCCATGTATCAAATATAGGCTGATTTTTTTTCAAAGATTCCACATATTTAAAGTAGAAATTTTACAATAAAACTTATCTTAAACTGGCATTAGCTGCAGTTGTTTCAGATTTGACTTGAACTTAGTAATGATCATGAACATGCAACTTCCCTGGAATATATGAAGCTCTCCACTCTTTTTAAAGGTACTGATCTATGTACTTAAAGTTTTTGAAACAAGAGGGGTGGTATTACAGTAAAGATGCACTGCAGACCCGAGGTTGCTTGTATTTCATCTTCCCTTCTTCTGCATGCCCCATTCTATTTCCAGAACTCCCCGTACCTGTGAAACTCTACCCTTTCTGTTTAGTGAAGAGTTCTGCCCTTCCCCATGCTAATTCAGCCTCGCACAGTTCCTTGTCTGTGCGACTGGCTTTTGGTGAATGCAGGTGAATTGAGAGCCTGAAGAAGGGACTACCTGTGTGGATGCATGGGAGAGGCTGTACTTCAGCGGAGGCAGCAAAAAGAGCCTGCAGGGCTTCAGCAGCCGCTAAGCGAGGTTCCAAAGGCATATGGCACTGTGCAGTATTTTTTTGTGAGTGAGTGTGTAGGTTTTCTTGTGGGGATTTTTTTGTTTTAATGTCTTTAAATGAATTGCTGCTTAAACCATTCTGAAATGTTTTTAAGTGTTTACTGGTATTTTCCATTTTTCTTTAATGAAATGTGTGCTTCCTTTTCTTTTGCCATCTGGCAAATTTTAATTTATCCATATGGTGCGTAATAAATATTGGTTTTTTTCAGGCAGCAGCTAGTCTACCTTCTCTGCTCCCTTTTCCCAGCCTCCTACCTTTTGTATGCATGCATGGATACAGGGAATTTTGATAGTATAAGGCTAGTGACCTCTGAGAGGAGATGTGGACCTGAATATCTGTTTTACCTTATTTATTCTAATAGTAGTTAGGAGCCCTAGGAAAGTAGCATTTAGGATAGCTAACTGAATATAGTTCTTCAGTATCTGAAAAATGACAGTTAGTCAAATCCTCTTTGGTTTCATAGAAGACGTTAATTGTTTCAAATTATGTTTGTTACGTTTGTTGCTTCCTGCAGGGGAAAAAGTAGGCTGGGGGAGGCTTTTTGATTCCAGGAAGCTTTTGATTTCTCATTTCTGTAAAAAGTTTATCATGCCATAATCTTGTCTGAAATAATAAGGTTAAAGTCAGTCCTGAATACAACTGACTTGTGAACATACACACTTACTTTTACAGGTGTGTAAACCATTTTGTGTCTACAGATGGATTAGTGTATGTGTATGAGTAGCTGTCCTGACAGACATTGTTCCATTGATGTTGTTATATCTGCTATGCAGAATATAGCAGTAAAATTGCTATGTAATTTTAAATCAAGAGTTGCTTCTAGCATAAATTAACTCCAAGGTATTTTAATCTACTTTTCACAAAAATTGGTACATTTGTTAATGTCAGAAGAACCATGGAAGTGACCTGTTAACTAGTTGGTGTGATTTTCTATATTAGAATTTAAACAATTTGCAGATAAATAACTCAGGAGTGTATGTTATTTTTATTAATGTGTGTTTAATTCTGTGGAATACCGCAAACTTTGTTTTATATTATGTGGTTTGTTGCTGAGTTAATGAAAACTGTGTATTTTAGATATAAGGATTTATATGCTTGTTTTTCAGCTTTTGAGGCCTTCACCAGATTTGATTAGAATAAGAACCTCCATCTTGAAAAAAATGAATTTAAATTGTTAATGTATGAGAAATGCTTGACAGAAAAGTTCTTACAGAAGCATTATGTTTTGTGAATACAGTGTTTTGGAAGACACAATTTATTTGAACTTCCTCTTGCAGGCTTCTTTATAGTTTAGCCTTTAATGCCAGATTCCTGAGGCATCTTTGGTATTTGATATCTTCAATGACCACACGAATGATTACAGGGTACGTATTATGCCTTTTCCGAAACTGAGTCTTTGTTAAAATAGAGCATATCTGGTGAAATGAGAATGAGACAATTAGTGGTATGACAGTGCTCATGGAAGATAATTAAAAACAAAATTGTAATGCTTATTTAGCTCCTGTGATTTTATGAAACTGAGCAAAATCTTGGAAATTGGACAGTTGTAAATAAATAAAATATTTATTTGTAATGAAGTGGATGTTTTGTAGTTTTCGGACTACTTCCTAACATCAGTATAGCAAACACCAAAACTCCAAGTACTTCACCCCACGTATATGAGTTTTATCTCATTTACTTTGACTAGTCCAGAAATCGATGGTGGCTGAAGCATATTCCTAGGAACTGAAACACTGGACCTGCAGATTTGTTGTGTGCTGACGTGCAGATTAGTTACTCTTTGCTTCATGTCTCTATTCTAAACCAGAAAGTATCTGCAGTCTGTAATAGTTAATGACAGAGTTTATAGATCATGAAGATACTGCGATACTATAGTGACAGGAACTTACAGAGTAACGTTATTTTGCAGGAATGGGAAATACTAATTATTTCACTGAGAGCACCATCCTTATTTTGCTGTAGGAACTACTACTAAATATTTTTACTGGAATGCTGAAGTTAATACTTTAAAAAGAGTATTTAACTTACCATCTCTTTAATTTGTATTTTATATTTTAAGGTCTATGGTGCCACTCCTTCAAGTGATTTCAAGAGGCTCTCCAATGTCTTTAGAAGACTCTAGTCGAATTATCCCTCTCTTCTACCTTTTTAGTTCTTTGTTCAGTCATTCACTTATTTCTATTCATGATAATGAATTCTTTGGTGATCCGATAGAAGGTGAGTATCAAGCATACTAAATAGCAGTGCTTTGCAAAATGTTTTTGTGTAAGGCTACAGAGTTCCCTGGGCAATGATTTGCTGACATCTGTGAGAAGGGCTCTTCTGCGCTGACTTGCTGATGGTCCCTTGAGCACTCAGCTGTCAGGTGGCTCTTTCATGGTGATTACATTTAGAAAAAAGAGGAAAAAAAATGATGGTCTGCACCTTGGGAACCGTAGCTTTACAGGGTCTGATATGCAAGTTCTTAATCATGATAATTTTTAATACGTGAAGAGAATGAAGTTGTTCTGGACTGAACCTGTAGTCTAATGTGAAAATTTAACGTAGCTGGAATCACAAAAGAGAATAAGAATATTGTAGTTAAAGTCATTGTGACTATAAACAGTTACAAGACCTGATCGCCTTTATAAATGTATACTCGTTCTCTTTTTGGATGATGTTTCTTTTCTCTGCCTTTAGATTTTGTTTGTGATTATTAAAGTTCTGATGAAATAAGTGGTTTTTTTAATAACAAAATGATTAAGAAAAAGTTGTTTAAGGAAACTTAAACTTGTGTTTTATATAGTTGTAGGTCAAAGACAATCATCAATGATGCCTTTTACACTAGAAGAGCTTGTAATATTATCACGCTGCCTTCGAGATGCATGTTTAGGAATCATAAAGTTGGCTTATCCAGAAACAAAACCAGAGGTTCGTGAGGAATACATTGCAGCATTTAGAAGTGTCGGAGTAACAAAAAATACAGAAATGCAGCAATGTATACAGACAGAACAAAAACGGTGGATTCAGTTATTCAAGGTAAATTGTGTCAATTTTCAGAACATATTTGAATAAAGTTTTCATTTTTTTCTCTATACTTTTAACAGAGTTGTTACAAGTAATATGGATTTGGAAAGGTTGCTTTTTGGCGTATATGCTAAACTTTGAGTAATTAAATTCTGATAACTAAATTTGTTTTGCTTCTGGCAACTGTTAATTTAATTTTCTTGCTTATCCTGCTTATAAAAAATTTACTGTGTAGAATATAGGTTTTAAATTGGACTCCCGTTCAGCACGGTACTTAATAATATCATTATAACTTCTTGTAGGTGTGAAATTCTAACCGAATCGTATGATTCCTTAAGTACTTCTGTATTAGAGACTTCACTAAATTGGTACCGTGCTGTATTGGTTTTTTTGGTGTTCTACAAAAATTTGTTGATACTGCTCCTTTTGGGTTTGCTGGAATATGAACGGGATGGTGAATCTGGCTTAGCAAATGTAAACTTAATGTATGTTCTTTCTGGATATCTACCAATGTACTTCTGCTAGTTTTATCCATGGCATCCTACCTAAGACATGAGTTAAGAGAAGCTGAAAACGTTGGCAGAAAAAAACCTAATATAACTGTTGCCGAAAAAAAGGAGTGCTTGACTTGTCATGAAAATTCTGCAGCAAACACATCTAGTCAGCTAAAATTGCTCATTAAAGAAGTGAGAGCAGAAGAAATGCATTTTCCAAATTGAATGCTAGATTTACAGTCTGTTTAATACTGGCGACCTCTCGCACACTAATGTTCAGTTCGAGTCATCAGCTGTCCCTTCAGGTCTTTTATCACTGCTTTTGTCAAGCTATCTATTTAATTGAAAGAAGTTAATTGAATGAAAATGATCAACTAAGCTTGTATTAATATTGCTAATGGAACTTTCTTCTTGGCCATGTTTGGAGAAAGATGTCATGCTAGACTTTAGGAAAGGCCCATTAAGGCTTGCACTTAACCTGATGGGCTAATTAAGGAATGCTTATTCATTCTACAAGTCTAAGATAGCCTCTATCCAGCCTATTCTGCCTGATTTTACAACACATTTCACTTATGAGCATAAGCATTAATAGCAGTGAGAGTAACTGATAATGTTTTGATTGCATTGAATACAGTCCTAATGCACCACTGAATCTGTAATTTGTATGGATTTATCTAATATATGTTTGCACAATTTAATTTAATTACTTGTCTTTAAATTGCCAAATAAACTTTCGATTTAAAGGTCACAAGTGAAACCCCCAATATGTCTATTTTTCTAAGAAGGATGGCATGCTAGGGGTATTTTTATGTATGCAGTTTATATCATGCCATCTTCTAGTTCTTCTCTTTAGTTTGTCATATTAATCTTTTTATAAGCTGCTTATGTTTCAGGTGAATTTGATCATATTTTGCTGTCATTCAGAAGGCTGTAAAATCCGGAGTTACTCTGTCCTACTTTGGCAGTCAGGAATTAAACTCGTAGTGGGACTGTCTAAACTTGGTGTACTCTTACCATTTTCAGGAGCCAGGGTTGTCTTCCATTACAAATGTAAATCTTGAGAGTATCTCAAAGGCTCTGGTTCTAACTTAAAAAGTAGCTAATAACAAAGCACCCCTTGTTTACTCCTTCAGAAACATATTGCTACAGATAAAAATCCAACATAGCTAAAGTTTGTCTCATCAAGACGACTGCTGTACACAGCACTGAGTCTTTCCTGAGATCAGCTTCAAAATAGCTTCTTGCCAGTAAGCAGGCAACACTATCTTCTTCCGAATCGTTAAAACAAAGCTTAAGTAATTCATCATAAATATAAGTACAAAATACTTTTGTTTCTTTTACACTGTCAGATATATGAGAGATTTATCTTTGATAATACTTTTGCAAGCTGCCTGCAAAGAAAAAGGCATGTTCCTTCTCTATCATCTATACTTTTAATTTCTGGTTTTTTTTCTTTTAATTTCTCATGCTTGTTTTGCATATTTTCAATGCCACTAGTGTCTAATGAAAGACATTCTTGTATGTGTGTATATATGCACACAAATATAGGCTTTAATTCTGCAAGATGACGGTAGATCTGAAAACAGTGAGACTGCTGGCAATGATGTGCATATTTGATAACAGATTGGAGGTATTTTGTAAGATTTACATGTGAAAACATCTTTATTCAGCAGAATCCCCCTTTTTTGGCTTGATATAGTATTGAATAGTGTAGTCAACTGTTACAGGTTCCATAGGAGGACTTAAGTTATGAGTATGTGAAAATGATTTTGCCAAATAAGAGAATTATTTCACTGTCTTGAGTTAATCCTGTGAAATTAAGTTGCTAATTTTGCTGAATTTTAGTTTTGAATGTTACTTGCACTTGGTCCTTTATTGGAAAGAAATCCCCATTTTAATATTATTTATTGAAGTGAGTCTTTCCTTTCAATAAAATACATACTTGTAAAAAATTTTACAAAGGAGTCCTGAGTTTAGATTGCTAGTCTTCTTGGTACCCATTCATTATGTAGAAGGATCTCAAAGCTCACGAAATTTTATTCAGCTTCCTTTAAGGATTCTTTAACTACTTGTAAAATATTTTATTAGCAGGATCTTCAGGTGGATAATTTTTTCTTATCCCCCCCCCCCTTTTTTTTAATTTTTCTCTTACATATAATGGTAATGGGACCATAGAGCTTCAGTGACTCATCTAACCCGCACTGAATTTTATAAGGGCAAGGTGATGAAAATTCCTGTGTAATCAGACAGTTCCCTTAATAGCATTCTTTGTTCTGTTTTGAATAAAGACCTTACTTTACAAAGTGGATCTTAAAAGGTCTTTTGTGTAGTATCTAGACACAGAATCCTTTAGAAGGTCCATTAAAGTCTTTGTTACTCTTGACACCTGCCCATTAAGACTGTCTTTTAGCAACATTACTTCAGAAAAAGCTTTGTGTATGTGTTTTTCTATTAATTTTTCAAGTGCTGTAGTTCTAGGTTGCAAAACAGATGGCTGTTCATTGTAGCAGTGATAATGTCTTTTTAGGCTAGTAATTTAGTATTCTATTGATTCCACTTAATTATGTTTTATGTAGTGTTGGACTAAGTTGGTTCTGCTTTGAAGAGAAGGCATGCAACCAAGTATGACAATTGTGCTTGAGATGAAGTAGTTGTTAGTTGTTAGCTTGATATCTCTACTTTTTTTTTTTTTCCTTCTGGATTGGAAGAAACTGCCAAGAAAAATATAAAAATTGCAAAGACACCCTAGTGACCATGATAACTAGTTTATGCACATCTTCATAACAGAATTGGAAGGCTAAGAAAAATGGTTATCTATTCAGTTTTCTCATTTTCTGACTTTATGGTTATAATAATGACAGAATTACCTTTCATCATTTGAATTCCTTGTAAATAAAAATGAATTAAACATAGTGGTTTAAGCTAATGTGCTTGTGGTTGGTTGAAGCCAAAACCAGCACAGCATCATCATGCACTGTGGTTCAGCTGATAAGCAAAAATTTGTTGAAACACTGTTACCAAGTGGTTTTCAGGTAAACACTTACACTTTCTATTGTAAAAGGACTTACTAACTTAACACACTAAAGGGCTTTTACCTAACACATTTTAGCTTGTAAATAACATTATGATAATACGGTATATATGTGCATGTTAAGTGAAAATTACAACCAACCACCCTACACACACATTTTTAGGACTGTAGATGCTTTTTGTGTGTCTTAGGGTGGTCACTTGATAACTGTCTTCTTTCTGGCAATGGTTATCTTGTAATCTGCTTTTGGGCATGTTTGGGCTACGTTCTTCCCAGGATTGATTTTACTTTCTGAATCTGTATTTTGGATCCTTTAACTAGCTTACAGTATGGTTTCCTACACAGTATAAACAGCTGAGCTAGTCACACTAGGATCTGTTTTAATAAAGACAAGAACTTTGAGGGTACAGTTCATTTGTGAAATTGTTAGCTGCTTCTGGATGAAATGATCTTTTTTTTCTCTAGCCAGCTTTGAAAACACTGACAAGATATTCATTGACAAGAAAAGGAGCCTGTGGTGTCTTTTCAGGTGTAGACCTTTACCCTTAAAAATATCAGCATTTATTTTTTCACATGGATAATCACCTCAGTGTCTGGTGGGGTGATATTGTCAGCAGATACTTACAACTCCTCTCAGGCACCTTTAGCTGGAAATGCTTTAGTTTGTTAATGGAGCAACCAGAAGTAGTCAATCTTTCATGTATTCCAGAGATGTAACTTTTGCTGCCAATTTAATGCTTCTGCCCTCTCCTTCTCTACTTTCTGAGGTTGATGTTGGCTTTTGTATGGTTTGGCCATTGAGGAGCACATCACAAAATCTTCTGCTGGCTAGTTAGTTAAGTTTATTGACTATAGGCAGAAATACCCATTTTTTACTAGTTGCTCCCTCAGATTTGCCTAGTGTGGAGTGATACATGTGACCTTTACTTGAGATGGCAAGCAAAAGTTCCATTCTTCTGTGGAGCATTTTCCTTGAAAAATGATGCACAGAATTTTAAGACAACTCTTCCTTGTGGACAAAGAAAACCTGCAAACTGTCCAAATTGTTTGGAATCTCAGTTTTGGAATGAGAGGTAGTAAAGAATAGCTATGTATCTCTCTCTTCTAAAACATGCATCTATTCAACTTGTTTAATTTCTGAAAACCTATGTAAGCAAAAAAGAAAACAAAATCTATATTAAGACCATTGTATAAATTACCTGGTCAGGTGTTACTTTCCTTAAATGGGTAATTTAGTGCTGGTAATGATTTGTTTAGGCTTTCCTGAACTGGCTACAACTTTTTCGGTGTGCAGGGTGGTCCTAGGATTACCTAGTCCTAGGTAGTCCTAGTTCTTAGGTTTGGGAATGAGACTTTAATAAGCCAATTTTTTTGACGACTTACAAGTGAACCACTACTACTTACTTGCATTCTAAGTATAAGTGCAAGTTTTGTAAGTCAAAAATAAGTAACAATTTCATACATTACTGAAATATTTTTTTTTTTAAGGTTTTTGCTTGTGGATTATACAACTTTGTTCACAGTGCTAAATGTATATTGAATGTATGTATTTCTGACATGTAGGTCATCACAAACTTAGTGAAAATGTTGAAATCTAGAGATACAAGGAGAAATTTCTGCCCACCAAATCACTGGCTCTCAGAACAAGAAAACATTAAAGCAGATAAGGTAAGAGTAATATCCTTTTTCCACATAGCCTTACAGATGCCAAAGTTTCAGTGGTAAAGTGTTTGATTCCTGACAGTATCGGTGATGTTGATGTTGCACAGTTTTAGTGTGGTTTAAAACCTGGAGTAATGCTGCTTTTCTCTAATGTAAAAGTTTGCATCTCTTAAGAAACTTTTATGTTAAATCATATTTCCAATCCATAAAGTAGAATTTGCTCTACAGTGCAACAGTGTAAGTCATCTGCATTTATAGCAAAGGAGAACTGAAAATCTAGTAGCGTTTTGTTGCATTTTATTTTAAGTACTCTTTATAATAAAAATACTAAATAAAAGAATTGCTCTATAGTGACAAAAAAGCCCTCAAAATTCTCTTCCAAAATAAAAGAAAATTCAGTATTTTCTCTACTTACCTCACCTAGAAATTGCTTTTTTTTTTCCTAAGAGCTTTTGAAAAAAATTACATTGTTTGAGATTAAAAAGTGTGTGTGTGCAAAAGAAAACACTCATGAATGTGCAAGTACACCCTTGGAATCATCAAAAACTTGGATCTTAAGAGTCTAGTTACACCTTAAATAGACAAGCTTGCACTATTAGATGTCTTAACTGCACGGAATAGTTAAGAGTGAACTCTTTTGTTTATTTTTGATGATTGCATATTTGCTTGCCTTGTGTTTAAGATCTCCGTTTCTCTGTTACGTCTCTTTATAATTCTTAGGGAATAGTGCCTGCATATCTTAGGGAAAGTTGTAGTGGTCTTAAACTGTGATACTCACCTGATACTCAATACAAAGTAAACAGAATTTATTTGACATCTCAAAATTCAAACTCAGCTTCTCTGGTATCTTAAATACCAAAATTTAATATAACATTGTATGGTATTTTTAAATGATACGTGGACTTTATATTACATTGTTAATTCTGCAGCTCAGCTTTAAAGCACAAGTATAAGGAGGAGCGATTAGAAATGAAGATACTTAGACATTCAGACACAGTCTTGGATGTGACAATTTTATGTATTCGCTGTGTAATAGTAAATTGTGATATGTAATTAGATAATGTTTAACTGTAAAATACTGTTAATTTATTAGGTTACGCAGCTGTATGTGCCATCCGCCAGACATGTCTGGAGAGTCAGAAGAATGGGAAGAATAGGACCGTTGCAATCTACTTTGGATGGTAAGATACTGTCTATGCAATTGTTGCTTTACTAAGTCAAAATAACAGGTTACCTTATGCAAACAGAATCTACCTTTTATGGAGCTCAGTTGAGTATTTTGTATAGAAGTCTTAATGACAACCAAAAGCAAGGCAATTTTTCATAATTTTGTTTCAGATATTAAAAAAAAAGGTATATTTGTATACACATGTGCATGTATATCTTTAGAATATTTAATGTACAACAGGTTTCCCTAAGCTTCTTCTGGCATTGATGAGGGGGAATGATGAGGTGGACAGATGATACGTGTTAAAAATATACATATTAATATGTATAAAAGGCAGTTGCATAAGATACAAAATTGATAAACTTGCAGAAGATGTAAAGCATTGAGGTTTTGCTTTTAATGTATACTATAAACCAACTTTTTTATTATATATTAAACTGTTACAAACAAGCTTTAGGCACCAAGATAAGTGTTAATTACTGTTTATAAATATTGTGTCTAATCAGATAAGGCAGAAACTTAACCCCTTGAATTACTCAAAATAGCTGGACTTTATGGAACTTGCAGAGAAAGATGAGAGAAATGGACCAACTTAGCAATTAGGCTAAATTTACACTAGTTTAGTTGTGCCAAATCATGTAGACAGTTTGTTTCTTTCAGCTTTTCATACCTTTGTACCTTCACTATTCTAGAATTTTACCGTGCTATGCTCAAGTAAAATAATCATTAGATCACTAATACTTGTGAAGATTTAATAATGAATTAAAAATGAGGCCTTTAAGCAGCAAAATGATTCATCTGTGAGAGTCCGTACCCTCTTTCAAGATGATGTAATCTGCTTGAGTATCTTAGCCAGATACAGTAGATCATTTAGAAGAGACCATAGCCTTTGAATGCTTCTGTAGAGTTGTAGAGAATTAAGGGCTTTGTCCAAGGTTGAAACCTAAGCACTTCTTATAATGTGGTTTTTTTTTATTTGAATAGCTATGATGGTTTAAGTTTACTTTGATTACCTTATTAGTCTAGTTGCCAGACAGCAACTAGTTGGTCCAGTCTAAGTACTCCTCAGAATTTTGAATCGAGTATTTTTTCAGTTTAGTTTCTCTTTTTTTTGGAAGTCGCCTATTCTAAGTGATTGATAATATGAAATCTTAAAAGCAGGTGGTTTAGTGAAAATTGCCAGGCTTTGACAGGCCTGTATCCTGTATACCTTACGGACTCTACATCAGTAATTCCTGTCCTTCCATTGACCTAAATGGCTCTTGACAGCTATACTGTCTTGATGTTCTCCACTGTCAGACCTGTTCCACATTTATTACTTCCAGATTCTCCCTCATGCTACTAGTCTCCTAGTCTCCTTCCCCTCATTCATACAGTATCTTGAGCTCTCTCCCTTGTCTTCCTTCCCATAATAACACCAGTTTCATTAGTTGCCTTCGTCTGGGTAGTTGGTGGATAAGGAATGCGTGTGCTGTGGTTGGTGTGGAGCAGCTACATGCCCTCATTTTGCTGCTTGACTGTCAGACAAGCTGACACACTGAACAGAGCAGATAACTGAGCTCTCCTTGCTGTTTCTGTAATCAAGTCACTAAAGGAATTTCTCTTCTCTGTCCAGTTGAAAATTTTTACAAAACCTAGCATTTTTGAATCTCCTATTCTCTGTCAAAGTTAAAATTCAGTGGTTAGCTCAAAAAGTGTGTTGGAGGCAACATGGAGAGGAAAGATGACACTGTGTTCATGTAAACCTCATTTTCATGCAAAATCAGGCTAAAAAAGTGCAGTCAACATGAATGTATGAAAACAAGCAGGTAACGATGTGCACATGACTTGTTTAATCCCTCTTGACTCCATATGAGTTAAAGCCAATTAGCATGAAAGTACTGCTGAATCACATATGGTCATGTTTATTTGTGCTTTTTCATTTACTTAAACAGCAGGCTTGTGAGTTCTAAATGCCCTGTGTATTGATGACTCCATCCCATATTTCTCTTTAAAGAAAGAAGCTGTGATGGAGAAATGCAGATAAAATTGACTAATTGACTGGAATAATTGAACTATCGAAGTCATGTAGTGGTTTACCTTTGCTGTACATGCACTTTTTATTTAAAATGCTTTTAACTGTTAGCTTAATAGGCTGCATACATTGACTTTAATTAAAAATGTTTACTAAGTAAACGAAGGGTAATCACAGATAAGCATTTTATCAGAAATTCCAAAGGCTTGCAATGTTGAAACCTGCCCCAAATGAATATACATCAAGTATAGTGATGTTTTGGGTCATGTCATGTTAAATTGGTGCTTAAAATATCCCTACTTAAAGTGCTTTGAGGAGTTTAAAAAAAAAAAAAAAAAAAAAAGTGCATTGAAGTGATGTCCAGTTGCAGAAGGGCAGCAAGATGCTAGTCACCACAGGTAGGAGCCAAAGGGGAAAATTGAAACTTGTCATAAACTTCCAGACTGGGTAGTAAAGTGAAGCATTTACTTCAATTTTGTAATATGGTCTATAAATAGTCTAGATTCTGGAGTCTTTTTTCAATAGTGTGGTTATTAAACATGAAAATAAAACAACTAGGGAGTTGTGGGTTTTCTTTCCTCTGTCATCTGAAGCTGGGTGTCTAGTCAATGAGCAATACTACTGATTTTTTTTTTTTTTGCTGCTGTTAATTAATTTACAATCAGATATGTGCTCAGCAACTGAGTTGCTTCCCATGAAGTTACAGCAGGATTGTTACTTCTACTGTGCATTACCCAAAGTCGAGATGTTTCCTAAAAACACCCTCTGTGGGTATAAGAAGGTTCAAAGGAGCTGCATGGTAGTTTGGGAACCACATAAGATGGAGTCCCTCTGTTACTGTGAATTGAATTCTTTTCTAACCTTTTTTTCTTAAGCACCTGATACAATTTCTTGATGTTCTTTTCACTATTTCTGCAGTGACTAGGATTTAATGTGATCACTGTGACCTTCCTGATGGGAGAGAAAACCTATTGAAATAAATGTTACCTTTCTGTTGGTTTCATTAGATTTTGTTTAATTCTTAGTTTTTATGCCTAAAATGATTTGATTGAAAGTAAATGTTGTAGTTGAAAGCACAATACCTTTAAACTACTTTGATAATTGGGATGGGAATATTGTCTATCCCTGTGATGAAAATTCTAATTACTTACAACTTCTTGTCTTCTATCATGTATTTTTTCTTAATTGAAATATTAAAATGTCAATAATAAGAAAATAACTTTTTTCTTCTGAATAAAATAGAAAATACAGGAGTAGTTATTTTATACACATTTTGTTTTCAGTGTGTTTTCACTACTTACTTTTCAGTTTGTAGAAAGGTGAGGCTTTGTGTGACTGTTTAGTAAGTAAACTATTTCAATGTATGTATCTTTATACTAAGTAAATTGAATCACTTGATACAAAATAAACTGTTTTAAAAAAATATTCTCTTTCTAAAATTTTTAAAATTATTATTTCTCTTTTAAGTGGGTTTGGAACCAGCACCTCTTTCCGTATCTGAAGAACGACAACTTGCAATTTTGACAGAGCTACCTTTTGTAGTTCCTTTTGAAGAAAGAGTAAAGGTACCTAATTTCTAATTTAATATGCAATTGGTTTTTTAGTTTTTTGTTTTCAGTAAGTGTAAAAAGAGCACTTGGCTAAGTAAAAACTGGATCATTTGCCTGCAGAAGGATATGACAGGCCATACTGGTTTTCTTCAGTACTCATGTGGCAACTGAACATTTGAAGTTAAATACTTTTTCTCTTTTTTTACTAGTTATATTGCCCTTTATAGTAATTGCATTAAAATTAGAAACATGTATTCCAGGATGTATGAGAGCAGTTGTATGTTTATAATAAACTGCAGTCCTGATTCAAATGATTGATCTACATGATTGCACCCTCTTGTGGTTAGCAGAGCATTAACTAGTTGTGTATCTGTAGTAAACACATTGCAAGGTCAAGACTGGACACTTTTGTGCAGTGGCTGGATTTACTCAGAATGAGATAATGGATGTCCATTTTGAGAAAATAACGCCTGGAGATGAAATTTCTTCATTCATAGCTGAGTGGCTGAACGTTAATAGAGTACGTAGTTTAAAACTTGCAAGATTTTTGTATTATTGGATTTGTTTTCGAATGTCTTCCAGATTTTAAATATGTAATTGTTAGTTCTGTCACCGATTTCAGTTTACATCATACATTTTTTTTAAAGCTATTCTTCTGTTACACACAATTTTTTTTTCTGAGCTGCTTTTGTTGTCAGTAGTATCAATTACTTAAAAACTGCTCCCTGAATTGTCTTGGAAACATTAAGTTGCAAGACACTATCAAGGGAATGATGAATCATTCTATAGGGAACGTAAATCAGTATTTGTCAAAAAACACAACAGCTTTGGTAGAAAAGGAGTGCTTTTTCCAGGCTTCTGTGAAACAGTTATTCCAGCAAAACGTTTTGATAACATATGGCAATATTGCACTGGGGTTACAAGGAAACAGTTGGAAGTTACCACAAGCAGGGATCTCTGTGTCACAATTTAGTCACTGTCTACAACCTCTGGACTTCTTAAAGCTATGTTGAGATGTACGTATGTTAAGTTTCTGGAATTCATAAAACCTTGTTTGTTTTTGTCACAAAAACTGAAGTAAAAATTGGATGAGAGCTTGGAGAGAAGGATAGAGGTACAGACTGAACTTTTACAGTTCAGAGAGGAGATCCTCTTATATTGCTTTTTTGACCAAGTCTGGTCCTTTTTGTGTAATAGTGAGAGTCAACATCCTTTTGGAATCTCCAACTGCCCCTGCTAAACAACTTGCAGTAAGGGAAGAAGATACCTTATCGTGGTCTTGGTTCCTTCCCCCCAGCTTTCAACCAACTGCCGTCTATTACGCTGTGATTTAATGTGGTAATACAGCTCAATGCTGTTTCCATGTGTGGGTTGTTCCGTGTGTCCTCTCATTTTCTGACTTCTTCATGAGATTTTTTTACCTTGAATTACCAGATACTAGATACTCTAACAAGCAATTACTGACTCCAGTCTCATGGTAGGCTCTTCAGCCTTCTGACCCTAGGGGATGTTATCCTCTTTAGCCTTAAGCCACATTGGTGTACACCTTTCAATCTGATATTTACTGGTGGGAGGTAATGAATCCAATTTATATCAAATGCCTTAGTTGTCGCTTACTTAAGCTGTACTCTTAGCAGCTTGCCTATGATGGTGTTGCTTCCTATGGTGTCTACTTCAGTCAGTGTTGCTTACTTTTCCATATGTTAGTCTGAAGTAATTGCAGGTGCTTCTGTTATGTATTAGGGTTCTTATTTCAGGACCAACATATGCATGAACATTGGATTATGTAGGAGTCCTGACTCTATCAAGAACAATTTTTCTGTAAGATACACTTCCAAGTGATTCTTTCCACCTAGTATTGTGTAGCAATAGTTAATAAACTATATCTAGCCATGCTTCAGGAAAGAGAGTGGTGGTGAATATGTTCTCATGCCATGTACGTAAAAAGGAGGTGTCTGTGGCTATGTGTCTTGATGCTGTAGAACTGTAGAAAAATCTAGGTCAGAAGGGACCTCTGGAGGAACTCTAGTCCACATCCTTCCTTGTACGAGGAATAACTTCAGAGTTGAATCAGGGTGCACAAGGACCTGTCCAGATGAGTTTTGACTATCTCCAAAGATGGAGATTTCACAGACTCTTCGTGTAACCTCTTCTGATACTTAATCACTCTCATTTTGAATTTTTTTCTTTATGTCCACTTAGCATTTCTCTTTCTGCAGCTTAAGACTATTTTCTCTTGTCTTCCTCCTGTGTACCTTAGGGGAGAATCTGGCTTTGTCTACACTGTAATCTTCCTGGTTGGAGGGTGTCTTCTCCACTAGCTACGTGTGTCCATGGAAACAGTAGATTTGAGACCCTACGGTAGCTTTCTGTGCTGTTGTCAGATTTTTCTCTTTCATGAAAAATTTGTTGTTTTTAAACATCCGTGGAGACTCCTAGTTTTCTTCATTAAGAAAGCAGTCTGTGATATTATTGGGAGATTACATCCCTGTAAAGGCTGTGGATGTAGTCTATCTAGACTTCAGTAAAGCGTTTGACATGGTCTCCCACAGCATCCTCCTACATAAGATGGCTGCTCATGGCTTAGATGAGTGGACTCTTCGATGGGAAAAAAGCTGTCTGGATGGCCGAGCCCAGAGAGTTGTGGTCAACGGAGCCAAGTCCAGTTGGCGGCCGGTCACTATCTGTGTTCCCCAGGCTCAGTTTTGGGGCTGGTGCTGTTGAACTTCTTTATAGATGATCTGGATGTGGGGATTGAGATTGAGGGCATCCTCAGTAAATTTGCAGTTGACACCAGCTTGGGTGGGAGTGTCGTTATACTGGAGGGTAGGAAGGCTCTATAGAGGGACCTGGACAGGCTGGATAGATGGGCTGAGACCAACGGCATGAGGTTCAACAAGAACAAGTGCTGGGTCCTACACTTTGGCCACAAAAACCCCATGCATTGTTATAGGCTGGCGGAAGAGTGGTTAGAAAGCAGCCCAGCAGAAAAAGACCTGGGGGTGCTGGTAAACAGCCGGCTGAAGATGAGCCAGCAGTGTGCCCAGGTAGCCAAGAAGGCCAGTGGCATCCTGGCTTGTATCAGGAATAGTGTGGCCAGCAGGACCAGGGCAGTGATTGTCCCCCTGTACTTGGCACTGGTGAGACCACACCTCAAGTACTGTGTTCAGTTTTGGGCCCCTC